CCTTTATCCAGACTGTGGCAATGCTGTGCATCTAGAATGAAAACTCTTGACCTTATGCTTCAATATGAGCATGGCTAAACTTTTATGTTACAGTTTTTCTTTTTTTTTAATCTCTATGACTGTTCGTGCCATGAAGCAGCAATATTAGAAATGCAATATGAAGCTTGTTCATTTGGAACCAAGTCCTATTGATTTCCAGGAAACTTGCTTTCTAGTAAATGTGGAGTAGAGTGTAGAGATTTATGTTTGTGACACATGGACTTCGTTATTGTTTAAGGGTCCACGGAATGCTATGGCAGGCTATTATTACAAGTCTATCTCTGGAACTACCGTTTATAAAGTCCCCATTAGTATTTGGCCCAACATCTGCAGTGTGGCCCTGATTCTAGTTGAAAATTCATTGATAAGCACACTTTAGTTACCAGCAAGTTGGTGGAAGGAATTTGTGAGTGGAGCAGAAGATGGCTAATTGAACCAACCTTGTTCAGAGAGAGAGAGAGAGAGCCCCCAAAAGATAAGCTTTCTTATCCATTTTCTTGATGAGATCATAGATCTGTTTATTTCATTGTGCATTTCAGAATTAGAGAACAGGCTTTACTGGTAGCATCCTGTTGACATGTTAATACTAAATCTTTTGGAAAAAAGAAATATGCAGTATGTTCACCTTGCCTATAAGCACCCAGTGGCTATTGATAACTTTTTTAGCTGTGATAGAACAATACAAAGTACAAGACACAAAATGTTTTTCTAGATTGAATAAATATATAATTCATACTGTGGCAAGTTCTTTAAAGATGTGTTTTTTCTAATACTAGGATGCCATTCTGTCCCATTGATCAGCGTCTGCATGTGAAATAAGCAACATGGTTCATAATTGCACCTAATTGCATGTTTGTGTGTATAATGCAGTACAATAACTGCTTAAAATGCAATCTCTTTATGTTGTGGGAACACAGTAGGATTCTGAACAGCTTGAGGTTTTAAATTTATTTTTATAGTTTGACATAAGCACCAAACACTTGCATTTTGATTAGAGAAATTCACAACAGTTCTAAGATCCCTAGAGTATTTTAGTGCAAAAAATGTGAGGGTGGCAGGCCGATGGCTTTGTTGATCAATATTGGGTTGTAAAGGAGGAATTACAAACCATTTTCACAAATTTCTTAAATTTATTTTTAAATTTCCTGCATCTAAAAGAAGAATCAAATGTGATGTTGACTAGAATTGTAAATTGGAATTTACAATGGCTCACCTGTGTATCCAATCTTGTATTTTAATCCTAATAACTGAGCAGCTCCCTCGAGAGATGGAATCTTATTCTTTTTGCCTCAGTGGGCAGATGGCAGAAAAGAAAATAAACAGTTGGAGGAGGCCACTGCATTGAATTTATTTCCATTCCCTTGCTTCACTCTCTGATTTCACAAGATATTTATGGTACCCTGATCAGAAAAAAACATCCATGTTAGTCAGTCAGTATAGCAAGAAGACAATAAGTTATGTTGCATTCTAGAGCCATTTCATACCCCTCTCATTTTCAAAATTGATTTCTGTAATACAGAAATATTATTTGATCAGATACTATTATTATTTGATAATATTATTTGATCAGATACCTCCTTGTGTACTATGTGAGGGTTTTTTTTTTCTGAAGAAGACATTTAAACACCAACTATGGACCCTTCCACACAGCTGAATAAAATCCCACATTATCTGCTTTGAACTGGAATATATGATGGTGTGGACTCAGAAAACCCAATTCAAAGCAGATCCATGGCCCTTCCACACAGCCCTATACACCAGAATATCAAGGCAGAAAATCCCACATTATTTGAGTGTGGACTCAGATAACCCAGTTCAAAACAGATATTGTGGGATTTTCTGCCTTGATATTCTGGGATATAGGGCTGTGTGGAAGGGTCCTGAGTCCACACTCAGATAATTGGGATTTTCTGCCTAGATATTCTGTACTTTCTATACTGCCATATAATCCAGGTTATCAAAACAGAAAACCCATATCTGATTTGAATTATCTTATCATCTACATTGCCATATATTCCAGTTCAAAGTAAATAATGTGGATTTTATACAGCTGCGTAGAAGGGCTCTAAGGGCCCTTCTACACAGCCATATAACCCAGGATATCAAGGCAGAATAACTCATAATATCTGTTTTGAACTGGAATATCTGAGTCCACATTACCATATATCCCAGTTCAAAGCAGATAATGTGGGATTTTATTCAGCTGTGTGAAAAGGGCCTAAGAAATCTCAAGCTCATGTCTCAAATATACTTTGGAGATTAAAGGTAATGAGGCATCATGAAGTGGTTTGGCTGTTGGGCTAGAACTTTGTGGGACCAGGTTTCAGATCACTACTCACAAAGTGCCATTCTCTCAACTTTAGAGGAAGGCAATGACAAACCCATTTGAATAACTTTTTCCAAGAAACCATCATGAAAAGTTGGAAATAATCTAAAAGGCATATAACAACAGCAACATTTATAAATGTTGCTGCACTGAAAAAAAAAAACCCCTAAAACAAAGTTCATGATCTGGGTGCACATAACTGTACAGTATCCACTATCCTAAGGAGATATAGACTTAATGAATGCCTCGGTGAGAGGCAATATAGAAATATTTATGTTATGTTTGAAATAAAGTGAAAAGTTTACAAAAACAGGATACAAAAACACATCACAACCATTAAAACAGCAAGGATATACAAATAGAGTAACGTAACCTGGGGAGAAGTCGACTGCTTAATAGGAGGATTGGTTGTTATAACGTAACCTGGGGAGAAGTCGACTGCTTAATAGGAGGATCGGTTGTTATGTTCTAGTTAGATGAATGTGTAATGAGAAATTTTAATTTTTTAAATTGGCCTTGGCCTTTGTGGTGCCAGTGGTTTATGGATTAAGGTTTCTGAATCCTTAGTGCCACCAGGTGGATCAATTCAGTATTACATTTTGTTTATGGGTATTAGCATATTACCTACAAATAGAGCAGGGTCCAGATATTAACACTACCTGAAATAAAGGACAAAGACGAGTAGGAACTGAAAGCTGGGAACAGTAGATATATCTATGTTACATATGAGAACTAAATCATGCGTAGTTTTGTTTGTCCCGTTGAACCAGGTGCAGTTGTATATTCATCTGTTACCTTTTGTCTATTGGTTTAGAGAAACTTGTACCCCAAGTTTTCTTAACCTTTTTATTAAAAGTAGCATGCTACCCTGCGTGTTTCTTAGCTTGACAGTGTCTGAAATCAAGTATATATTAATTTTCAATAATTTTACAATACTGTCTGTTTTCATTCCATAGTTTTTTGAGACTTTTCCTCTCCTGTACCAGATCTTGTTTACATTTCCATACTTAATACAATATCCTTGATGGCATTCCCTCATGAGCCACAAGTTCGGCAATCCAACTCCTCCTCAGAACTACACCATACTGGTTGCTGATTCTCAGGTTTGCTGGGTGTAGGTGGATGTGGATCACACCACCCTGCGAATGCCTGACTTGATGAGAACTGTCTGGCTTCTAATATTTACAACATCACAATAAAATGATTGGCTGTTATAATGACATTTAATTTATTCTTATGTTTGTTATCCTTGCAGTGTTAGACCTGAGTCTATTGCAGTAGAATTCATTTCCATTGCTGCTGTGTTCATTCAGATTAGAGTGTTTCACATCACTGCCAGAGGTCTATAAAATCTAGTTTTTAGGAATATAATCTTGGTTGATAAACTGAAACATTTCCTAGCATGAAGATGTCTGTTATGATTAACATATGTTCATTTGATGTATTAGAAAAGAGGCCATGTCTCCCTGGCATCTCATGTCTTTAATAACTCACATCTACTTTTGAATCTTGGTTATTATAAAATAGAGTTTCAAGCATATCAGTCTTACCCAAACTTCTTGCTGTTTCACAATGTACATTGCGGCATACAACTTCGTTCTGGTACTAATGAATAATGCAAGATAATGGAATTCTGTTTTTATGTATATAATTCTTGATTTTGATTTCAAAAATAAAGTCATGTTTTGGTCATGCTGGCAGGGGTAGACAGGCGCTATAGACCAACACACCGAAAATCCACTATTCTAAATATTTGAGATTCTTCCCCCTCAGAAAATGTAATTCTGGTCAACAATATGTTTTAATCATAGGATCTGTGTTCTCCCAGTCACACAGATGATAAAAGATCTAAGATGTTGGTATTTTTAGTATTTATGTGTCTGTCTAACTCTCTGAGGGGGGGAAGAGCTATTAATCAGCAATTTCCCCCTCTCCAAAAGTAAACCACATAACATTGTTATAACATTGTTAACTCATCTTTTTAAAGAAATTGTGAGAATTCTAAGTAGTCAGTGCCTGTGATGTCAACTTTCTCTCTTACATCCCGGTTTTAAATGCAGAGATAAATATAAACTACTGTACATGCAAGATCGAAAGAGAGAGGATTAAATGGGATTGAATATTTGTGTTTAAGAGAGATGACATCAATAGTAATAATTTCACTAAAATTGATATCTAAGGGGTTTTTTTTGGGGGGGGTGCTCAAAAAAGCACAAATGTGTCTTATTATTAATTGCATATAGAGAAATCTCAAGAACATAAATCTGATCCCAGATTATCTGCTTTGAACTGGACGGTGAGTCTACTAACAGATAATCTGGTATAAGCAGATAATCTGGGATCAGATCCCGGAATATAGGGCAGTATGGATCCAGCCTAAGTTTGAGTCTGCATGTGTTTAAAAAGAGTTAATTTCTAGCTCACATAAAGATATTATTGAGGAGACATTGAAGATGGATTGGCTCAAGACCTCAGTATTTCTTTTGGAAGCATAATGGGCCAAAATATGGATCACATCACCCTTCAAAGTGTTATCATCCTCATTCAGAGGATGTATCTTGGTGACTGTGTTAGGGATGCAAGGAGCCTGCTGCTTTAACTTGGTTTTGTGTCTCTTTTTTGTCTTTGTGTTTAGAATCAGGCAGGGTAAAATGGCTGCCTCTTCCTCCTCATCTTCAGCTGGTGGAGTTAGTGGAAGCTCTGTAACTGGATCTGGATTCAGCGTCTCAGACCTTGCCACACCACGGAAAGCTCTCTTCACATACCCTAAAGGGGCTGGTGAAATGTTAGAAGGTAATTACTGTGTTTTCTGAGTCAAGGTGTAAACTTTACATACATGCTAATCCCTCTGCCTGTCTTGCATTGTGGCCTCTTGCAACAAGTGGCTTCTTTTTTGTACCATTGAAAGTTGTAAAGAATTGACAGAACTAGTGTGGCATTCTGTGCTTAGGCTATCTGTTTACATTATTTACTAAGGGATACATCTCACTGAACTTGGATCATTATATTTCAGAGTAAATTGGCATGCGATTTTTCTATGCAGAGTGTTTTCTTGTGGAAAGTACACTACTTTTGCAACCCTTTTGCCTAAATTCAGTTGGCACCACAGTTGGGAGTTTATTACCATGACCCATATTGATTTGAGACACCACTTTGCTGATGTTGCATCAGAGAGGAATCTAGTCTATTGGTTTTGGCATGTTCATGATGAGTGTTTGAAGCCTTGTCCCAAGAATCACTTCTCTTAATTATAGAGGACATTGACAAATACTTAAGAGTTGCCAGCCATTAACCAGGAGACTTGCTGTCTCAAACTTCTGAGGCCTTAAAAAAACAGCCATAGTGTCTTCACATCAAATAGTCTCTCACTGCATCTCTCCCTCTGTCTACTGTATCAAAATGGGACTAATAATTCAGTCTGCCAGAGGAAAAGCTGAGTAATAAAAAGAGTATTGGAGATAGTACACAAACTCTTAAAAACAACAGTTAGCATCTAACAATACAGGCATATTTGATTCCACAAAAAAGTTACCCTAGATTTTGCCTGGATTCCTCCTTACTTCCCTTTCTTGTCTGTAATTTCCATCTTCTCTCTGCTTAAATAATGAGTTTATAACTGAAAGGGCAAGCATGTCTTCTTTTTTTTTGTCCTCTGTGGGAACTCCCAAGGTACTATGAAGAAATGAACTTGATCAGATTTCCTTTCATTGTCTTATTATTCTGGCTAGTATAGTGTGTGGTTGTTACATTTATGACACAAAGCCACAAGTGCAAATGTAAGCTAAAGATGGCTTGTCTTTTATCAGTGTAGCTTGTTGGGTCTTTTGCTTATTACTAGTGAGCCCATCGCTCCATAGAAATGTAGATGCATTATAATATGGTGAAATTGCCCTAGTTCTTAATGCCAAAGGAAGGAGCAAAATTTCAGGTAGTTTTATACTGCTCCCAGAAAGTTACAGAATATGTGGTTGGATTTAGTGTATCTTTTTTTCCTTTTGGTTTGGGACAGCAGTGTATGGCACAAAAGATTGGATCTGTTCTTGCATATGTTTAGGTAGTGGGAATGGGTTTGAATGGCACAATTCATCCCACATATTTTTTTGCTAAATCATTGTGTGGTTATGTACAGAGCTGCCATAACATTTAGGAGTTAATTCCTTTGCTTTATGGTACCAGCTGAATGCTCTCTACAATGCACAGGCATATTAGAGAGCATTGAGTTGTCTTCATTATAGTGAATGATTCAGAAGTAACAACAACAACAAGCATTAGAAATACCACCCGATTGTGAAACATGCCCTTATTGTTTTGTGCTTGACAGGTTTCTAGACTGGGAAGGACAAGCTAATCAGACTGGGGTGGTATTTATTTTCATTTACAGCACCTGTGGGGACTAATACACATACCCTAAATATTTTGGCAGCAGGTTTCATATGGCCTGTGTTTAGACAATCTTTGTTTGAGACTAACCTGTTCTAGATTGAGCTGAAGAAGTTTGGGCCCTCCATAGATTTGGTGTGCAACTCCCATCCATCCAATTCAGAATGCCCTGTGGTAAGGGATTGTGGAAACTGTGCTCCAGTTTGAAGAATCAAACGTTTCCCCACCATTGATTCTAGAAATACTGCAATAATAATAATAATAATAATAATAATAATAATAATCTTTATTTATACCCCGCTACCATCTCCCAAGGGACTCCGTGTGGCTCACATGAGGCCGAGCCCACAATACATCAATACAAGCAATAACAACCACAATACGAAACAAAATACAACTACTAATACAAAGCAATTAAAATAAATCTCATACACAAATAGCATAAACATTGAACAATAGCACAAAACACATTTAAAACTATGGCTGGGCCAAATGTAATTAAGTTAAAAAAAATAATGCTGGGCATGAACAAGATAGAGGAGGTGGGGCATTGGTGGAAATGAACAAGCAGTCCTAAATCAGTATAAAATGCTTTTAGAGGACATAATGCTAAGGGTTCACTATTCTGGGAAGGCACACTGGAACAACCACGTTTTCAAGCTCCTCCTGAAGACTACCAGAGTTGGAGCGTGCCTGATGTCCTTAGGAAGTGAGTTCCAGAGTCAGGGGGCCACCACCGAGAAGGCCCTCTCTCTCGTCCCCACCAATCGCGTTTGCGATGCAGGTGGGAGCGTATCATACATGTACATGTGCATCATAGAAGTGAAAGGTTAATATGTCTCGAAACACCATAAGGCATAAACATGTGGATTTTTAAGTATTTTTGGAATATTTGTCGCCATAGAATTAAATTTACTTTTTAATGATAAAAATGGGATGGAAATACTTCTGTGTATATCAAACACTATAGCAAATGAGTGGATGCAATCAAAGCTTCTGTTTCTTCTCCTATCTTCATGGGTGTGGTTACTAACTTCATGTGTACAATTCATGAAAAATAGTTCTCTGTATGTGTAGTTCATTCCAATATATTGCATGAATATTTGCTGTCTTGCACTATGCTGTGTCAAGGTTGCTAATTAATATATACATGTGTTGAATGTATTAAAATTAATGTTTGCTTTTAAGTGAATGAGCCCCTAGAACCAATTAAAATTTTGAATTGCTTTTCAGTTACTGCATGAAGGGATTTTTAAATTTTTTTAAACCCTAGACAAATGGTTTCTTTTAAGACTTCTTAAAACAATTTTATTGATTTAAAACTTCTTTTTAGCCCATGCTTCATCCCAGAAGTCTGCCAAAACGACATTCTCAAGATCAATTTTTTTTAAAAAGACAGTGTCTGTTAAAAAAGTAGAATCTAAAAGATGAAGCAGAAATGGGGAAAAGAAAGGGAAAAACAGATTTTAGTTATCAGTTATTTAAGACAAAGCATTGTCATTATTAATTTGTGTGCTCAGTGAAAGCTTAGCAGGGCACAAATGCCTACCTTCTTCATTCTAACCTAGCGTAATTCTTATAGTCAGAATATGTGTGTGTGTGACAGATTGCTACTGTCTTAATTAATGGGAAAGTGTGCCAGTTTAATATGGAATCCTGCTAATTTATAATTAGCAGAATCATTGTCTCATTTAGCATTGCTGGCAGAACTTTCTTATTGAAGTGACCCTATTTTTCCATTTTTCAACTCTGGCAGCTTTTAGGACATTGAAAGGTTGTAGTCTTGTGCCACTCCAGATTTATTTAATTTTTTCACTTTTCCAGAACAGAAACTTAATTTTAATTCACCAGAGTGCACACAGTAATAAAAATAATTGAAGATTGGCTGGAAATTGTTGCCAAAAGAACTATACACTTTAATCATATTTCATATGTTTTGTTTTAAAGTTATAACTATCCACTTGGAATTGACTTGTTTTTGTTGTGTGTGTTTTTTCTTAGGCTCATATATTCCATCTGAGCATTTGATAGCATTTTCTAGTTTCTCTCTATTATGTGTTAATCAGAATATGCAATCTGCAACACAGGAGAGAAAAAATGGATGATAGCTACTCAGAAGGTTAAATTAAGTTATTTAATTCTAAAAATGCATTCATCTCAATTTTTAGCTACAATATTTTCCTTAATTGGGTATTTTTCCAATTGAAGCTAACTACAAACGTAGCTCTCCCCCCCCCCCCCCCCCCGGTGCAAGTATCAACACAATCCTATCTATGTTTACTTTGTGTCAAAATATTAATGATACAATAAGTTTTGAACACAACACAGAAAGGTGTGGTTTCTAATCTTACAACTTTGTTCTGGATCCCTATGTTCTTGAAAATGATGTGGGCTGTGGCAGAGTAACAGGCAGGCCCGTAGCCAGGATTTCGTTTCGGGGGGGGGGGCTGAGTCTGCGGGGGGTGGGGGGGGGGGGGCTGAGTCTGAGAGAAAGAGGGTCTACCCTAGCAAACCTTTTGTATTGTTACCCCAATACCCCCATGCATATGGGATATATTGAGCATGGTGATCAGATCATGATATGAATAAACATAACAGTTTAAATAATGTACCAGTAAGGCCTTCTCGCGGACCACCATGAGAATTTCGGGGGAGCTCAAGCCCCCCCCCCCCCCCGGCTACATGCCTGGTAACAGGTATGCCATTCTCCATCCCTGTTCCCCAAACAGAATAGTGCTGCATTTATTAGATTCCTCTTGTAGCATGCAGTGTAGGAAGAGTCACAGAAACATTAGAAGGGGAAAGTTTGCAATCCATTGCAGGAACAGTCTTCTGTGATTGTGGAATGCCTGTTTGAGAGGAAACATTGAGAGTAAGAGTGCACAGGCATAAGTCTGCCCATCTGCAGTATTCAGTATGTTCTAGATAGGATTTTCAGTCTGTTCTAGATAGGACTGGCATTTGTCTGAAGGATGAAAGACACAATACCACTAGATCCAAATTTGTACTTATTTCATTCGCTTTTCACCAGATTTAGCAACTGTACCAGCTGTGCGGCCCTTTCTGAAACAAGAATTGCTAGCCTCAGTTATCTATGGTCTGATACCCTCTCAGGTTAAAACTGCTATAATGTATTGTAGACCAAGTTCCCTTGAAAAGATGGTTCAGCAGTTAGAAAATAAACTTGTGTTCTGAACTAAGGGCCACACCATGTTAGTGCTAAAATGTTTAATTGACTCCTAATCTGTCTATTTAGAGTTTCTGTACTTACACTTCTTTTGGACTTAGGACCAGGTTTATTTATATTTATTATTTACCTATTTACAGTATTTATATACCGCCTTTCTCACCCCTGGGGGGACTCAAAGCGGTTTACACATAAATAATGGCAAGATGAGCACCGACTGGGCACC